TTCACTCAATCTGGATGCGTCCTGTGCAAATGTGGATGTGCAGGTTGTATCCACATGGCTACACATCCTGTGTGTCTCATTTACAGCAGGTCTCCATGAACCCCACTGACCTCAGACCTGACAACCTCCTCCTGGGTGTTTTTAGCTTCGTTCTTTTGCTGCCAATCTGACATTTCATCAGCTAGCATTTTTATGGTTAAAATCCTTGAATGAGAAACCGTGTTTGCTTTTTGTTATAGGGGCATCCATAAGCAGGCTCAATTGCAGAATGGCACATGATGTATGACTGGCAGGAATTTACTCATTTCAAATTCCTTCTTTGGGAATTTTGACCTGCTCAACACTGTACCCCAAACACACATTACTACCCTTGATCAGAATCTACTACTGTGCTACTGTTGTCCAGAGTGAAAACAATCACCTGCATTCAATCAAGTAACAAAACCACAGAAAATACCAACAGTTTGTAAAGGCTGAGAAATTTGCAGCGTTAAGTGCATCTGACCAAACCTACTACTGTACTGAAGCTCCACATCTGAACAAAGTTACACCAAATAAATACAACCTCAAATCAGAAAAAGTTGGGATGGTATGTAAAATCAATATTGAAAAACAGTGATTTCTAAATCATCTGTGTCCAGTATTATGTTGAAAACAACACAGCAGCACATTATTTGGTGTGATAATTCATCAGTTTTATTCTTTGTTCAAAATAAACACTCACTTCAATCCTGATGCCTCTGGGGTTGTATGTACACCAGAGACACAGACACAGGTACAAAACAGCACTGAGCAATGTAAATGTGCTCAATGAGTGCCAGATCTCATACATGGCTTAGTTAAGGGCAATGCCCATTTCTTATTACAATGACCATTCTGGGTGCAAAGACACTTGCATGTGCACACATGTGGTCCTCCTGCTTGTAAGGAACATATGTAAGATCAGAGGAATGCAGGTTCACCCCAGGCTCTTATATAAGGCAAGTGGAACCCTGTAAAAACACAACAAAAACAATCCCACAGTTGCCACTCTCATAAATTTTAAATGTCCTGTCTAATATTACTCCGCCCTGCGCTGGCATCTCTGTGTGCAAATGCACACATGTACAGCATGTATGCATTAAAGTTTGCAAACCGCAAGTTATTATTTACAGAAGTGTTGGTTGCAAAAAGAGCACGTCTTATTTTTCCCAATACATTTCTTTTTCTAAAATGTCCACATCCTTGTATTTCAGGTTTTTTACTGTAGATTGACCTGTGGGGCTGTAACAAGTCATGGATACACTGTTATACCTGTACAAAGCATTAAAAAGTAACATTAAAGAGACTCAAAACTTACTGCTAATATTGCCATTACTGCTACTGCTATTATTTTTAGAGTTGCTTTGAGACCAACTATATTTTATGTGTAAATACAGTATTCTAATGTAGTATAACACTGATTTGACATTTAACCAGTATGCTGTATAAAAACATAGCTGTTGCAGTGGGGTCATGAACTGAGGTAAACCCTTGCAAACATCTAAAGTAAGTGTAAGCACACTCACCCTGCTGCAGTGGCTCGTGCTTTGACACACAGCTCTTGACTAAACTGGTGCCTGTCGCGTGACACAGAGAGCAGCATCGTACCTCCTCCTCTGGCCTACCCCAAGCAAAAGGAGACATGAACGGACAAACACAAGTCTTTGTACGCACCCCTGTTGCTCAGTCAACATTCCTTTTTTTTATGGTCAGGGCTGTTCATCTCTAAAATACATGTTATATCAAACTTCAAAGAATGCTCTAATAGGAGTCAAATGTGTTTTAAGGCTAATTTAATACCACATTGACAAGGGCAGGCCAGGAATGTGCATAGGAAGTGGAAAAACAAAAAAGAGTGGTGTAACATCCCATGAAATGTTCTAATCAAATTCAAGTGACAAGCCAAAACAACCCACTTCTGAATTATAGCTTCAGCTAACATATAATTCATTATGACTAATCATATTTTGTACAATCACTCCAAAACATGTCCTGGGAGGTGTGTGTGTTTGCCTCTGTCATCTAAAAACCTACTTTTAACCAACTTCAGAGAAGTTAGGAGCTCTCTCAAATTAACTTGTTCAAATTTTGATAGTTTTTATTCTTAAGTTTGCAAGTAGAGTAAAAATCTAAAGAGTTTTACAATACCCAGAGTCCTGCACAACACATCCTTGAGTTCATTGCTTTTCCCTTGTAATGCTAAGCACTATTGTTTTGTCCTAAATAAAACTCTACCAAACTGAAGTTGAAACACAAAGACAATGACAAAGACAAAGAGAGCCATATCCTGCATGACTTTCCTGACAGTGGAGAAAATCAAGAACATAGCCGACATTATATGTGGGCTCCAACAGTCACTGTTGTTTAAACATGGCAGAGGTCATTACGCTTTGAACGCCAGCCTTTCTTTTAGACACAGCGACAGGAGGAGGAAACAAAAAAAAAAAAAAAAACATACACACACACAAGCTATAATTGCCTTAAAAAAATAATAAGCATTCTCTATAAAATCTGCTTTTAACCAATGGGTGTCTTACATTTGAAGCCAATCGCTGTGTTTATTATGGTAGGAGAAGAAGACTGACTGACTGGCCGACACACTGGCAACTGGCTGCAACATCAACAAGACCCGCAGCATTTTTTTTTTTCAACTAAAAAAAGAAAAACAGCAATTTCTAAGAAACATGTACTACACTGGTTTATCCTGTCACCTCACTCTAAACTCATTCTTTAAGTGAATTTCCTTCCCTTATGGTCTACCTAATGCAGTTGAGTCATTTAACACATCAAGCAGATGCTGAGTCTATAATTACAGATCACTTTCCCACAATGCTCCAGTCAATAAATGCTAATCAGAGGGCTTGGCAGGTCCGTGACCCCCTCGCTGCTGCAGGCCTCTGCCTCACAGAAATCATTATATAAGCCATTTGAAATAAAGCATCAGTCACCTCAACTGACTTCTAGGAAGAAAAAATTCCCCACTGTATATTCTTATTAGATGGGTTTCCATCACCAGCTTTTATGCCCTCAAGAGTGAAGTATCATTACCAAGTGCCCCTCTCTCACCTGCACATAGCAGCTGCTCACAATGTGAAGTGGGAGTAAATGTTGCAATGTTAGTTTAAAAAAGTTGCAGAAAAACAGAAATCTACAGGAAAAGAAAACAGAAAATCAGACGGACAACTGCCAACATCAGAAAGTTGTGTATGTACTGGGATGGTTATGATGCCCAACATGCAATCTGGACAGACTGTAGCTCCCACTTAAAGTGTTTTCCAGAGACCCTGTTTTTCTGTGTAGAGTTTGTCACGTGATGTTAACGCGGTCCTGTCATTGGTTGATACAGCTAATGGAGAAAAGGGGAGGCTCGATTTGATGCTGTAGATCTCCATGCTAATGCTAACATGACACAATCGTTGTCATGTAGGAATGAGATAGCACAGGGGTAGAAATCGAGATCATGGTCTAATAATGATTAACTGTGCAGTACGCATTCCTTTGTATTTTCTTCTGCCGATTTTCTAAAAGATTTGGTTATAATTTCCACTACAATTGATTGGAAATCTACTTAAGTGTGTCAATGCAGTGATTTACAACAGGCAGCAAAATGGATTCTGGAGAGGTGCTATACTATCACATCTGCACACAAGAGTCAGAAAATATGGAGATCTTTCCACTGCTGCATGTGTAAAAGTCATGCTGTTATTTTGGCAAGTATCACGCTAGTTTAAAGGGCCCATGGCATGCTTTCCCTTGTTTTCTGGCTTATCTGCAATGTTACAACAGTGAATTATCATCTCAGATGTGACCTAAAGTTCAAAAAAATGAGATGAACATATATGCTCTAGTATTTCTATGCAGAAGTAACTCATCTCGCAAACTCTCACTTGTGAGACTTTTTTTCTACCAAAAATAAACTATTAAGTGATAGTTTAAAGATCCCCTTGAATGGGCATGCTCATGTGAGCTTGTCTGACATTCACTGGCTCCCCCATGATATTGGCAAAATGTTACACTGCCTTGTTATGTATGCTTTCAATAAAGCTTGTATATATATATATAAAATCAGTGCCAATGTATACGTGGAATTTTTCAGCTGTGCCTAGTTTTGTGGATACATTTGCCCTGCTGCCGCTGCACTGTGACCAGAGGATGTGGAGAAAAATATGAGGTCTGAGGTTACTGCATGTCTGGGAATGCTCCTGTACAGGGACTCGCCATTTTACCTGACTGGATCTAACCTACAAAGCAGCTGGCCTGTGAAGCCACTGCCATGGTTAGTGATCAGCTGATCAACGCTAGATTCCCCCGGAACACAATACCTGTTTGTTTTGACTGCTTGAGGCCAGTGGGTCTGCCGCATGTGATGTGTTGCTGGTTAACCAGCGGATTAATGACCCATGATGTTATTGTCAGAGCTATGCTACCTGTTGGAATTAATTTCACTACTCAGTGGGACTTAACGGTAAGTTTAGAAAAAACACACACATTGCCTGTCTGTTAATGCATTGTTTCTGAAATGTTAGAGAGAATTGTTGTAAGGCTAGAGAAGTTAGTGTCTGCATTAGGTCAGTAAAAATATGGGGTTTCTCAATTACCCGCTTTGTTTACAGTGTTAATCATCTCTTTTCATCGGTACATACTGTATACCATTGTTTACCTATCTATGGAGGAGAAATTCACATTAATTAATGTCATCACGATTCGTTGTGCTGTCCATTTGCAACACAACACTGGCAGCAGGAGTTGTATGCGTTCATGAACTATCCTCTCGTTTTAGGAAGAGGCTTTTTGATTTTATGATTCTGAAAAAAAGACTATTTGGAGTTATGAGGAGTGCCAAGCTAATCTAGAGGTACCCAAGATTAAATATTAAATGGCTGGAAACAAGCATGCCATGGGGACTTTAAACACCTGACAATGATCAACTTTGCAGCTAGTGTGAAGTAAGCAACATGACAACACACACATTCACTTACTTCTTTGGCAGTGGTTCTGTGACCAGCAGCGTCCCCTGAAGTGTCCATTGATGGTGTTCTGCTGGCAGGTGGTCTGACCTTGGGTCGTGCCAGGACACACATCTCCACATTCCCTATCATTCTTATTGGCCACAATGAAGTTGTCCTCCACTGAGTCCAGGATCTTGGACCAGTCCAGGGTGGCCAGGTAGCACAAATCTGGATTCTTCTCAATCCTCACGGCGCCCCGGGTGATATTCATGAGACTGTGAAGGCCTACCTCCTTCAGCTGCAGCATCTCGTAAATCACAAGAGCGTAGTTGAAGAACAGGTTGTTGCCACGGATCACCGTCAGGTTTGGGAAAAGATCGCTGAGGGTCTCAAGGCCATAGACCCTGAACAGCAGCACATAGTCAGTCACAACTCGCAGCTTTGGGTAGCTGAGGCCCCTGAAGTCCTCGGTCTTGGTCTTAAACATGAGCAGAATCTTCAGGTGGCCCTCGATGATGGTGCAGTTCTCCAAAGTCTGGAGGTTGGCCACATTGTTCCGGATGTCCCTGCTCGAGCAGACTGGAAGGACAAAGAGGGACACAGATGTTAAGAACAAGTCACAAGTTACAAGTGTTTTTTTTTTGTTTTGTTTTGTTTTTTTTAAACAGTTCATCCAGAATTTTATTGACATTTAATGAAATACCATCCTCTTCCTCACATTTCTAGCTATTAACTCATATCAGGAAGCTGCCAAATAAAAACTCCTCTTGAATGCTTTAATGTTAAGCAACTGTGTATTTTCAAATATCGACTCAATTGCCAGTTTAATGAGCTACACCAAACTAAATCTAATGTAGTTGAATACAGCAACCAAACAATAAGTTCAATGTTAATGAAGGTAGTTCTTATTGAAGAAGTGCTGATTCACTTCATGAACAACTTTGGAGGCTGTAGTATCTCATGCTCTTGATTTGAAATGCGATACACTGAGAGGAGCTCCTAACAGACATACAACAAAGGATTAACTTCTTTATCAAATCACCACAATATTTTTCCATGATGTATCAGTGTTTGATCAAAGTGGCATGATCAAAGTTCACATTTTGTCATACCTAAAGTAGAGAGCCTAAAAATATTGGGTTTATCATCATATAAAGAAAAGAAGCAAATCCACAACTCAGAACTGGAATTAGAGGGCGTTTTATATTTTTCCTTGAAAAATTTCTTACACTTAGTTTGGTCTAGTTTTCCATCAAGTGGCTGATACACTAATTTAGCCTACTCTCTCTGATGTAAATATGATGTACATAATGATGTTTTTAATTGCTTGTACAGACAATAATGAGAAGAGAACACCACGGTGTAAATGCAGAGAAATGTTCTTGCTCTTAGGGTGACTGCAGCTTACAGTAAACAGCCAAAAGATCCATCCTTGATTTGCAACAGTATTAAAGCAACTGGATATGAACATTAACAGATCCTTATTTTTCTCATTTAAGCCATGAAACCACCAGTGATTTGCATTAAATAGAGCAGAGCCATTCATGAAACCCGCTACAGTTTGACTGGCCGTAGGCACTCCCTCCTTCCCTCCTTCTTACACACACACACACACACACACACACACACCAAGTCTCTCTCTCCTCACTGGCATCATTTCTCCAGAGAGGAAATTATTGTATGGCACTGTCTGATATGAATGAAGCAGACATGAAGGGGTTAAGAAAAAATTTAGCCTAGAAGCAAAATGCTTATCCATGCTCATTCATACACTCTTTAGCTGCTGCACACTGGCGCGTGCACACACACAAGCCCACATTTAGACCACCGAATGCATGTACACAGACAGACACACAAACATATCAAGGGAGTGGAGAATTCATCAGGGGACCTAAGTAGATAGACAAAGAGAAACACAATGCTGCTGCTGCCTGCTACCACTAATAAAGCACATTCCTAACTTATTTTATAGCAGTTAAAGAAAAAAGTCTCATCTATTACAGTAATTGCTTTGTATCTAAAAAGCAACACAGAAACAATTGAGAAGACCCACCTCTGAGTACATAAAATTAAGAACAAGTGCATCTGAAGTCATCTAGAAGTGTCAGCTTATGCAAAGAAAAGCTGCTGCTGTTTAATATGGAAAAGATGTGATATACTGCTTGATACAGCGAAGTGACATAATATTTGAACATGGTGTTAAAAATGAAAGAATTATGCACAAATGCATACTCAAATTTTGCAGTGAATTTACTCATTAGACACACTGGCAGGAGTGAGACAAAATATTAATTTGTTCACCACTTATGTAGCAAATCAACCGTACTGGCAGTCATTATGGCCTAAAACTGATGATTATGGACAGTAACCAACATGCAAGAAGACTGCAACTTGTGACAGGAACCTTACAAAATAATTTCCACTACAAGAAACTAACATTGCACTACTTTTCTCAGCAATTTAATAGGTTAAAACACTGACAGTGAGAGAATAATCAGTAGTAAGGCCTATCACTTGATGATGAAAATGCAATGCAACACTATTTGCAAATTTAGAACAAGACAACTAACCATGAAACTGATCTTTACTAGAATTAAACCCACTATTTTAATCAATTTTCAATATATTAGTATCTGGTGAAAACAGTGACAGTGTTAGAGCAAAATAAATAGGCAACTTGAAAACGGGCCGGTGATTATGAATGTTGGCTAAAACTGAAGTGACCCAATGGTCTCAGTCTTATCTGCTGTTTTCAGTCGAATGGTACTGACACCCGCCTCTGAGTGATGCTCTGTTTTAGGTACGTTTCCTGCATGGTAACTGGTGTGTATCACATTTTTGGTGTATTTTCCCCTTTTATTATACTCAGAGTGTTGTATGGATGACGTTATTTTCTAGGCCATCCCAGAAGTTAGCATTAGCATGACATTAAGCACCCTGTTAATTATTCACATTTACACTGGTCAGCCTGTAGCTGCCTGGATATCCAAATGTGTTCATGTTTGTCAGAATGGCCCACTATGGACTGGACGATGACACAGACACCCACGGTTACCTATTTGAATTGGAGCATTTTTTTTCTCCTTCTGTTCCAAAGGTTGTTTTATTGTTAAGCACTTCCTAACTCTGTTTAAAAAAGAGCTATACAGATAAAGTTATTATTTTTATTATAAATGAATGGAAAAAAAATAAGACATTTACAATGATGATGAAATCATACAGATCCCAGGGTCATTGGCCCCAGACTGACCGACATGTGGAGTCAATGCAGCAATCAATTTCTGGAAGTTTAAACTACAGTAGCTGTCTGTAAATCTTTCTCCACACACCCGTACCGGTCACATTGCTGGTCAATGTGAGACGAGGTGCAGCTGGACCACAACGAGCTGTGTAACTGGCCAAGTATGTCAAAACATCTGAAAACAACAGCTTGGACAGAAAACTTGTAAATGCAGTAATCAAATGTATGCACATTACTGGGAGCGTGGCCAAATCCTGCTTGCCTTTGCATACTTCTGCTTGTAGCCAGCACCACAAGCAGCCACAAACAAACTAATAAGATAGGACTAAATCCATTTCAGCTGTTAAGCATCTTGTCAGATAATGCAAACAACAACAGCAACTCAGTCACACAATCTAGCCAAATCACCGTGGCCGCACCCTCTTTATTAGACACATACTGTAACAGAAACAAAAAACACACTGCTTCCTGCTCTATGTGGCAGTTGGTGTTATTCCCAGTGATAACAGCAACGAAGTGCAGAGTGCTACCTTCTGGCCGCAAACAAAACAATAAGTTCACCTCCAATTTACAAACACTCAACAAATGGAGCCTTTGACTGGATCCAGACAGAAGCAGAGACATGGGCTGCATAGTTTATCATTTTTGGGTCATGTTAAGAAAGGGACCGACTTGGAGAGACCAACTCCAGGCCAGAATTTCATATGTGATACAGGGGGGAAAAAAAAAAAAAAAAAAAAAACATTGTGTGGTTGGCAGTGGGGGGGTGCAATGACTGTGACACTTCTGTAGCTCACCCTCCCCCTGAGGACCACCCTTGGACAAACAACTTGGTGCTTTCAGTGGCTGTACAGGAGTGCTTAATTACAATAACAAGGGGGAGAGCAAGGTTTGTGTCAAAGCTGAGTGGAGAACGGAACAAGAGAGCACAGACCAGAACGTAGTGTACCATACTGCAAACATCTATAGGAGAAATATGGACCAGCCACCCGCCTTCCCTGTCTGTTTGACACTTAATTTGGCAGCAGGGCTGAGAAGATGAGGAGGTGGAAGGAGGGACAGTGGGGTGTCAGACAAACAGATAGAGCAGAGGAAAAGCTTGGAGATTGAGAGTCAACAAAATAACAGTTCCTTTCAAAAGTGTGGCTATGCATTTTCATTTAAAAACAAGATTTCAAGTGCTCATGTTACTGCATCACCAGAAATGTCAGTTCTTGTCATAAAAACACACAGAACACAGAATCTAGACAGTTGTCACTACACTGCTTGAATAGTTATGAGGTCTTTTCACACATTCATGCAGTAACATTAACTGAATAAATCTGCCCAAACTGTTCAAGTGAATGCAGAAGCTTCTGCTGTTCAAACAGGCAATTAATTTATTATAAACAAGCTATGTTTTAATATTATTTTAATGTTGTGAACATTCACACACCAGCATTAAAACTGCTGATCCATACACTGATAGAAGAGCATAATGTAGTATGAATTTTGGTAGTTTTGATTTTCAAAATGACACGGCGCTCATTTTCTGTGACTCACTTCGTAACATGAATGCTGTATTTCTACCATTTACTTCAAGAACATCAAAACGAAAGCTAGAATAGATGCCACTGATCACCAGAGTTGTAAATGCCTGCCCATGGTCGTTACAATCCGCTGTGCTGTGTTTCGGCATCTAATGAGCTGTTAAACAAATCCACTGCGTCTCATGAAACAATACCCCTCTGCCATGCAGTCTCTTTTACTGCAGCGTTGTGTAAATGCAGCCTTGCACTGCATCCTAACAACATCTAACTACTGCATTGTTGATGCTCAAAGAATACTGTAATCTCTTCATCCCTGAAACTCAGCAGTACTGTTGCCACTGCTTGTGCAGTCCGGTTGCTCCTTACTTGCCTGTGACCCTTTCACAGCTATATGCAGTTAACTAATGACAATAAAGGCTGCATATGTGAAAATGCCTATCACGGACTCGGCATTTAACATGTATACAATACAGAGATATGGTATATGAATATTATTTTATTTAAAAAAAGCTCTGTGAAATATAGGGATGTTAATCATTAATGGCTGTTAAGAATTAGAAATATATTAACCGGCACTGCAGGATACAAAGACGTGTTGCGGTTGTGTTGATGAACACTGCACTGTGACGTTTCCACTGAGTTGTCAGACAGCTGAGAGCACAGCTGTAGCTGCACTACTAACATCCAGGACAGACATTACTCTAATTTATATGTGCTTCCAGCAAAAAAATAAAATCAACACAAAAATGATGACTGCCCTGCTCCGAGTATAGATGCATTTTTCTACTGGAGCAGATGTTTCCAGCAGC